CTCGCTCTCTTGTCTTTTGAATTAATAGGGTCAGTCTTCTAGGTTGCATTCAGCCCGGCAGGTTTTTTTTTTTTCCTGATAGACCCAAGGAATTATCTACAAATTCCCATTCATAGTAAAAAGGCATTTTAGAGGATATTGTGAAAAATGTATTCTCCTTTTTAAAAATATATTTTATTGATTTTAACAGAGAGGAAGGGAGAGGAATAGAGAGTTAGAAACATTGATGAGAGAGAAACATCGACCAGCTGCCTCCTGCACACCCCCCTACTGGGGATGTGCCCGCAACCAAGGTACATGCCCTTGACCGGAATCGAACCTGGGACCTTTCAGTCCGCAGGCTCACGCTCTATCCACTGAGACAAACTGGTTAGGGCTGTTTTTCTTCGTTTTTAAACATTTTTTTCCTGGCCTTTCCATGCACCTGGTTTTATTTTATTGTGTGCCTAAGATTTTGTGTTTCTGCAGACAACATTTACATTTTTTCCTGGTAGACAGCTAGAGATAATATAAACAGGGATCACCTTAACCTCTTCAAGTAGTTTATTTCTTACTTGGTCTTAGTCCTTTTAATGCACAAGTTTAAATTTCCCCTTGCCTCTGTTACTGAACGGAGTAGAGGCTCATGCGTAAGATGAGAAGAATACAACCTAAGGAGCTATGGATTTTTTTTGCACATTTGAGCACGGGGAGGAAACTATAATCCTCTTACAGTTACATTAAAAATGTCTTAAATAACAAGTAAGTTTTAGTCACTATTCCACTAGATTATCAGACTTCAACATTTTAAATCATCTCCCTTTCTCAAATAAAATTTACATATACTTTTATGATTTTGACCCCATTTTAACAACATAGTTAGCTAAATATTAAGGTTTCTTAATTTATTTAGTAAGGGTTACCTTAATTTATTTAGTAAGGAATTCATGCTCCATAGAAGAAATAAAAAGGGAAACTTTTATCAAGGAGATATTCATATGAGTTGCTGAATCTGCACAAGGAGAACTTACCGTTCCGAGTATCCTCTGTCCCGGGCAAACCTCTGGAATGCGCCCATGGGATCGGAGCCCGTGCTTAAGATGAATATGAGGGGAGTGTTGTGGGACATATCTTGATACAGAGTCGGCAGGTCCATAGGCGGCGTCTCTATAAAGCGTTTCCCAAGATTTTCTATGACAAAATCTGTAAGAGCAAAAACCACCTGAAAGGTGAAAAGGCGAAAAGAAAAACACATTTAAAAAAGTGTTGGTTGAGTATCTTTCATAATTTTACTCTGTTTCCCCTCAGCTTCTCAGAGGCCGGTGCCCTGTCCTTTGACCTCATTCTCTCTTGGTTGGGTATATTTCTTCCTGTGGATCAACTTGGTGAACTTGTACACCACCCAACTGCTGACAGCCGTGCTTCTCCTGACTGCACTGAGCAGGATAAAGTATTACACGAGAGGAACGTCCCCCATCAGTCCGTCTATCTGTACACCTGCGGTTTCCCCATCCTCGCCTCCTTTTGTTCCATCCCTCTTGCATTCTCAGGGACTTAACTTTCAGTCCTTCCACTGACTCCTGCATGATTGACCTCTCCCGCTCTCCATGATCTCCCTATCACCATCCAATTAGGCTCCATTGTCTCTTATTCTTAAAAGCCAAACGAGAGAGCCTTCCCTTGATTGCAGTGCCCTGCCAGCTACTGTTTCATTTCTTTGCTTCCCGTTCACAAGCCAGTTTCTCAGAGGAATTGACTCCGTATGCTGTCCACCATCTTCATTTCTTATCTACTCATCATCCTCTTCTGACCTCTCTCAGGAACCAGCCCCAGTTCTGATGCTCAGATCCCTGGCCGGGCCACTTTCTACACCAGTGTGTTCCCTTCACCGACCTCCCCCGAGCCAACTTAACCCTTTTCTGCTCTTGCAGACCATGGCTCTCCAGAGCCCAAATGGAGTCTTTGTTTGGGATAGAAAAAGGTGTCCTTTTACGAGATATTTGTGCCCCCAAACTGCCATGATAAATATACAAACCTAACCTGCCATGCCTACAATGTGAATGGCTGCCTTAAAGGTGGGGCAGGCCACATCTTTTTCACAGCTGTAGGCAGTAGCAGGATTTAATGTTACCTCTCCCTGAGGTGTTGACAACTGTCCAAACAAGTCTCACCATGTTTTCATTGGGGGTGGAGGTGGGAGAGACATGTTGTTTGGATTTGAATGGCACCCCAATCTGGCCACACTGGGAAAAGATGGTCACATGCTCGCCCACCTAAGTGTGGCTATATTGTGGTGCTGACTGTAAAGGTGGCGTGGCCCAGAGGGACAGCTTTGAGACAGGGCCGAGGGGCCTGGAAGTTTGTTCCACTGCGTGACTAAGTATAATTCCAGAGTACATTTCTTTATTATTTTTATTTAAAATATTTTCAAAGATATGAGCTATTTATTTGCTTTTTACTTTGAAAAAAAAATGCTCATAAAGTTTACAGTAAATGACCACAAGACAAAGAACCAGTAATTTATTTCTTGAGGGCTATCTATCTATCTATCTATCTAAGCCTAAGTGACCATTATGACTGGACAACTGGATGACTGGCCGGTAGTTATTACACACACTGACCACCAGGGACCAGACGCTCAACATAGGAGCTGCCCCCCTGGTGGTCAGTGCACAGCCAACCTCTGCAGTCCCTCCCCCTGGCCAAACTCCCACGGTCCCTCCTCTTGACTGGCCGGCCCAGATCAGCCCCGATTGCCCACCAGGCCGAGGGACCCCACCCGTGCATGAATTTGTGCACCAGGTCTCTAGTGTAAATATAAAAGTGGTAACATGCTCATGAAATGCTCTTGAATTTAAAAAGTTGGAGAAATATTTTTCTGGAAAATAGGTCACTTTATTAGTATTATATAGAGATCTAGGATTCTGATAGCTTTATTAATGAAAAATCAAACACTATGGGTTACATGCACAATTTCTCATGTCTCTGAACTAATTTTCTTTTCTTTTTTTAAAAAATATATTTTATTGATTTTTCACAGAGAGGAAGGGAGAGAGATAGAGAGAGTTAGAAACATCGATGAGAGAGAAACATTGATCAGGTGCCTCCTGCACACCCCCCACTGGGGATATGCCTGCAACCAAGGTACATGCCCTTGACCAGAATCGAACCTGGGACCCTTCAGTCTGCAGGCCGACGCTCTAACCACTGAGAAAAACAGGTTAGGGCAGAACTGATTTTCTTTATGAAACATTTTAAACAAGTGGAAATAAGTTTGTATAAAACACACCCTTGGTTAGGCTCTAATCTACATAATGTATACCCAGAAATACATATATATCCAAGAACACGGTTAAGTACATGGAATACAGAAAGGAGATGAATCAGGTAAAGAAATAGAGCCAAGGTTTCCTGTGGAATTTGCTTGGTTTTTCTGTCTTTTGATTTGCTTTAGTGCTATTTGTCTCTCCAGTGGAATGTAAGGTTTATGATTCTCAGGTGGAGGACGAGGCAATACAATAGAAGTGCGTGTGTACACATGCCAGCCTGCAAATGTGTGTCTCACTACCATGGCTAACAAATAAATCTTATTAGTTCATGGATCATAACTAGTTGGTGAGCTTTAGTAGAAATAGTTATAACACAGTTCTTTAGTTAAAAAAAAAACCTTACCTTTTCTTCTTTACAACACTTAACAAGAATTAGCTTATGGAAAGAGCTTAACTTTGAAAGCCACGATTCATAGATTTCCAACTCCACTTTCTGTTTCAGAAGTTGTTCCTCTTCTTCCCCTACTGTGGGATAGTTTGTCAAATCCTGTGAGTTAATGAAAGTCTCAAAAGATCCTGGAAACATAATTTAAAAATATGCCTTATTTAGAGTTGTTTTGACTTTTAAATTAAGTAAATATATTTGGTAATTTAGAAATCTCTACATTTACTATCAATTCTTTCTATGAATGTAAATATACTGATATCCCCCTATCCAGACTAATTAAAGAGCAAAGAAATTAAAACTGGATCAGAAAATATTCAACAGAAACCCACTTACAAAAAGCAAAGCGAAATAAATAATAGAGAGGTTACAATAAAAGGATGCATAGAAATACATTAATCACATGTGAACAAAAAGAAAGCTGAGGTGATAAGAGTAACATTGGACAAGTTAGAATTCAAGGCAAATGTAATTAAATGGGACAAAAGAGGTTATAGCAAAATTCAAACCTCATAATAAAGCACAATAAAATGAACCTATATGTTCCAGATAATAGTATAAGAATATATCCCTCACTGCTGGAGGTAGAGTTTGAAAAAGTAGAAAAAGAATTGTGGTAGGAAATAATACACCATTATTAGTCTGTGACAGATGAAGCAAATTAAAAATTCTGGCCTACATAATATAAATAATATATGACTAAATTGACAATCTACACAACTTTATGCCCTGATAAGCATTAATACATTGCTCCCCCTCACCCTTGGAATAGTTATAAGAAATGGACTTGCATTTCACGTACTATAACCCTTGCAATGGTTATAGCATGCAGTAAAATTAGCGTTGAAATTCCTGTTGATACAAGGTGCACAGTATGCTGGGAGCTCTCGGCAAGCCAACACAGCAAGTGACAAAACAGGTTCCTACAGTCAAACATTAGGCAGAATAGTTGGCTTATATTCCATGCTATAAAGCCACTTTCTCCAGCTGGTCTGCTGGGACTTTTCTCTGAGGGCCTAATAACTGCAATCAGAGTTATTGACAGAAATTTAGTGACACGTTAAGACCATGGCCTTGAAGAAGGGTGCACCTCAAGACTTCTAGTTTCTATATGGAATAAAGACAATTCCATGGCATGAGACCACAGGGTTCATTCAGCATACCGCAGTGCTCTTTGGTTGAAGGTGGCTGCATTATTCTAAAAACCAAGTAATGGAAACATTTATTCCAAAGGGAGTTCTTTTTTTCTTGAGGTTATTGTACAACCAACCAAGGCTTTGGCTAATAAGACAAGACAGCATATTTTAAATGATAACTCAACTAATAGGACATGAAACACTTAGAGACCATCAAAGACAAAAGATTAAGGCAATTAGGAAGCTTTTGAAAGTAAGAATGACATTGGAATGATTAAACTTGAGCTACAAAGATCTAAAGTTCACATTTAGAGCACAAGCCATACTATTACACATGTATAAACCTTCACAATCCTGTAGGATTTCCAGAATAAATCTTGAAATTTTACAAATGAGAGCAGGAAAATAGCTTTAAATTGTTGAAATTTTCATCCCAATTGACAGGGTAACACAATGCTTTTTATTCAAAAATGATAAGTTGTTCTCAGAATTACTTTGCCTTTCAATTTCTCTCTTTCTTTGCCTCTGTGTTTATGAGGCTTCATCTATTCCTTTCTGCTTTGGGTTTGTTTGCAAATGTTCATCTCTAGGCTTCTCCTATGAGTGTTTTTTCTTTTTATGTTCTACCTCTAATGCTAACTATCTTGTTAAACTGGTCCACAATATAGAAACATAATTTCTATTTGATGTAGTTATTGAAGAACATTTTATTTTTTCTAGTCTTTATTCAGAAATCAGATAAGCATATTAAGATCCCAGAAATTCTGGTCCATGTAGACTTTAAATCACCACAATTACTGGGTACACAAAGAACAGGAACAAGACAGTGTCTGCTTTCACCACTTTTATTCAACATAGACTGGAAGTCCTAATCAGTGATCAGATAAGGAAATATAAAAGGCATCCAAATTGGAAAGGAGGAAGTAAAACTATCACTATTTGCAGATGACATGATATTGTACATAGAAAACCCTAAAGACTCCACCAAAAAGCTACTAGATTTAATAAATGAAGTTGGCTATGTAGCAGGATACAAAATTAACACTCAGAAATCTATGGCTTTTTTATATACCAACTAGAGGCCTGGTGCACGGCATTTTTATACACTAGTAATGAACTCTCAGAAAGAGAAACTAAAAAAAAAATCCTACTAACTAGTGAAACAAAAGAAGTAAGATACTTAGAAATAAACTTAACTAAGGAGGTAAAAGACCTGTACTTGGAAAACTATAAGATGTTGAAAAAAGAGACAGAGGAAGATATAAACAAGTAGAAGAATATACCATGTCCATGGATTGGTAGAATCAATATCATTAAAAATGTCCATATTGCCCAAAGCAATCTACAGATTCAATGCAATCCTTATTAAAATACCAACAGCATATTTCACAGACCTAGAACAAATACTCCAAAAATTTATATGGAACCCAAAATGGACTCTGAATAGTTACAGCAATCTTGAGAAAGAATAACAAAGTTGGAGGGAGGAATCACAATACCAGATATCAAGTTATGGTACAAAGCCACTGTGCTCAGAATAGCCTGGTACTGGCACAAGAACAGGCATATAGATCAATGGATAAGAACAGAGAATCCAGAAATTGATCCAAGACTTTATGTTCAATTATTATTTGACAATGGTGATAAAAACATGCAACGAAGTAAAGACAGTCTCTTCAATAAATGGTGTTGGGATAATTGGACAGGTACATGCAAAAAACTGAAACTAGACCACCAACTTATACCACACACAAGAATAAACTCAAAATGAATAAAAGATTCAAATGTAAGTCATGAAACCATAAAAATCTTAGAAGAAAATGTAGGCAACAAAATATCAGATATCTCACAGAGCAGAATTTTCACTGATGTATCGCTTAGGACAAGAGAAACAAAAGAAAAAATAAACAAATAGGACTACATAAAAATAAAAAGCTTTTGTAGAGCTAAAGAAAACAGTGTCAAAATGAAAAGGGAGTCCACTGTATGGGAGAACATATTTGCCAATGATACATCTGATAAGGAATTAATTTCCAAAACACATAAAGTACTCATACAACTCAACAAAAGGAAGATAATCCAATTAAAATACGGGCAGAAGACCTGAATAGACACTCTCTAAAGAGGAATACAAATAGCCAAGACCCATATGAAAAAATGCTCAATATCACTAATCATCAGAGAGATGAAAATTAAAATGACAATGAAGTATCACCTTGCACCTGCCAGAATGGCTATCATCAATAAATCAGTAAACAACAAATGCTGGTGAACCCTTGTGTTCTGTTGTTGGGAATGCAGACTGGTACAGCCACTATGAAAAACAGTATGTAGTTTCCCCAAAAAATTAAAAATGGAATTGCCATTTGTCCCAGTGATCCCACTTCTAGGAATATATCCTGACAAGCCAGAAACACCAATCAGAAAGAATATATGCACCCCTATGTAAATAGCAGCATTATTTACCATAGTTAAGATCTGGAAACAGCCCAAATGCTCATCGGTAGATTCATGTATTAAAAAATTGGAACATTTACACAATGGACTATAATACAGCTGTAAAAGAAAGGATCTTTTACTCTTTGAAAATGGAGGGACTTGGAGAGTATTATGCTAAGCAAAATAAGCCAGTCAGAGAAAGACAAGTATCACATGATCTCTCTTACATGTGGAATCTAATGAACAAAATAAACTGATGAACAAAAAAGATCCAGAGACCTGGAAGCAGGCAACGGACTGAAGTATTTCAGAGGGAAGGAGGGTGGGTGCGATGAGTTCAACCAATGAACTTATACATATATTCATAGCGCGTGGACAGACAATTGTGCAGAGAAGGCCTGGGGATGAGAAGAGAGCAGGGTGAAGGGGTAAATGAGGGAGAAAGAGGGACATCTGTAACACTCTAAACAAAGATAAATTTTAAAAAAAAATCAACAGAATCCCACTAAAGATACACCAAAAACATGAGAATGACACAAGAGTTGAAAATGAATAGTGTAGAATATAATATGCCAACCAAGAGAAACCTGCTGTAGTAATGTTAACATTAAAAAATATATTTTAAGGCAAATATAACTATTTAGAATAAAGAGAAATACTCTTTAATAAAAAAGAAACAATTTACTAGGAAGATGATAATCCTAAATCTATTTGTATTAACCACCATAATTTCACAAAATATGGGAAAAATTCCAGAATTTCAAAGAGAAATTGTCAGTCATAATGGTATACCTTAATTTACCTGTCTTAGAAACTGACAGATCAAATATAAAAACCATCACTAAAGTAAACACAATAAATTTTGATAGACCTTGAGGATATTATGCTACGTGAAATGTCAGCCAGAGATAGACAAATACCGTATGATCTCACTTATATATATATCTTAAATAAACCGCAAAGCAACAACTTCCCAGCTGCCAAGCTTATAGATATGAGAACAGATTAGTAGTAGCCAGAGGAGGGGGTGGATGAGTGGTCAAAATGGGTGAAGGGAGCCAGAAAGTACAAACTTCCAGTTATAAAATAAGTAAGTTCTGTGGGTCTAAGGTACAGCCTGGTAACTATAGTTAATGATACTGTATTGTATATTTGCAAGTTGCTAAGAGAGTAAATCTCAAAAGTTCTCATCACACACAAAAATTCTGTAATTATGCTTGGTGGTGGGTGTTAACTAAACTTATGGAGTCTTGCATCCAAGGAATGTCAGATATGGAATATTTTACATAAACCGAAGTCTAAATAAATTACAAAGAATCAATATTATGCAGACTAGGCATGTAATTTTTATAATTGAATTAAATTATTAATAAAAAGATAGTCCCAAATATCCTAAATGCTTTAGAATTAAAGAGTGTAATTTTAGAATTAAAAGGGGGTACATATTAAAAGTTGTGGAGGAAAATTAATATAGAATGTTATAATCAGAGCAGTCATTACCTCTGGGGAAAGGGTAAGGGTCTTGTGAAGGAGTATGAGGGGATTTTGGGAGGCTGGGACTGTTCCAGTTCTTGATTTTTGTGTACTGGTCCATTAAGTGTAGTCAGTTTTTGAGAAACAAATTGTAAAATTTTGATTTGGTACACTTTTCCATATGCACGTTATATTTCAATAAAAAGAGATGCAGCTAAAGCAACACTTAGAGGCAAATGTATATACCCTTAAAATGGATATAATAGTAAATATGAAATATTGAAAATTCATGGGCTAAGCCTTCAACTCAAGAAATTGGGGAAACAAGTAATTAGTAATTTCTTAACAATGAAGAAATTTCCTAGAGGAAAAATATGGATATTGCAGAAAAGGTTAAAAGAGACGATAAAGTTAGGACTGGTGAGCCTGTTTACAAACCCTGATAGCAGATCCTTTTTCCATATTACATACCTAATTGTATGCAAACAGGATGTGACAACATAAATTGCGTAAGTCCTTTAAAAACTGGAAATGATTCTTCTAAGTCATAGCATGAGTACCACACCTGAGTAAGCAGCCAGGGAACTTCAGGCTTAGGTGGGCGTTCCTGTTATAAGACAGAAAGAAAATGAGTAATGATTCACAAAGACAGCCACAAAATATGCTTTCACCTTGTCTAAGTGAAAAATCAAGCTCTAACAGCATGTTAAAAATAACCATTTACCTAAGAGAAGTAATAAGCTACGGTGAAATAGAAATGGTGTGGGATCTATTCTACCTGTAGACCTTTGCACAGAAGTGCAGCTGATGAAAGCCTTCAGGTTGACATTGCCGAAAGCAGCTGATCTGGTGAAGAATTAGCATTAAATCTGTTAACGCTACTTCCAGCCTGTTCTCCAACACACACTAGTCTCTCCCGACCCCCAAGTATTCTTACGGTTAATGATCTTTTTTTTCTGAAGATCTAGTCTCCAAATCAAATTTCCAGATGTTCTCACCTCTAGGAAATGGGAAAAAGTGAGTAGAAGACTAATATCAATAGCAAGACAAAGGGCAATCTTATTCTAGCTTAGTTGAGTGTATGTCTAAGCACTTCATATATCCCTAGAAATTTCTGGGAAAAGTATTATGCCATCTGGTGGTAGTCCATGAAGCACTTTCATGTGAGTAAACAGTTTTAAAAGAGACAGAAACAGCTGTGATTACAGACTGACACTGGTTCTTCGAAAATTTCATGAATATTTGCCTGACATTCTATATGACACTTTACAAGAGCTTTATTGAGACACAATTCACACACCATTGCCCTTCCCCCATCTAGAGCATACAATCTAATGTATTTTAGTAAATTCACAGATATGTGCAACCATCACCACAGTTAATTTTAGAGCATTTTGCCTCTTCAACACCCCCATGTACCTTTTAGCTATTACCCTTCTATCTGCCCACGCCTCCCAGCCCCAAACAACTACTACACTGCGCTCTGTCTCTGTAGATTTGTCTATTCTGGACACTTCATATAAGTCAAATTTTATAATATCTGGTATTTTGTGACTGACTTCTTTCACTGAGCTTAATGTTTTCAAGGTTTATTCATGCTTCAATTAAATAACATTCCATTGTCTAGGTTTCATTTATCCACTCATCGGCTGATGGACATTTGGGTTGTTTCTACGTTGTGGCTATTATGAATAATGCTGCTATGAATGTTCATGCCCAAATTTTTCTATGAACATCTGTTTTCTCTTTGGTATATACCTAGAGGTGGCATTGCTGCATCTTATGGTACTTCGATGTTTAATTATTTGAGGGCCTGCCAGGTTGTTTTTCAAAGAAGCGGCACCTTTTTTGCTCTCACCAACAGTTTATGAGGGATCTAATTTCTCCACATCCTCACCAACACTAGTTATTGCCTGTCTTTTAAAAAATTATTATTATAGCCATTCTACTGAGTGTGAAGTGGTATCTCACAAATGCGGTTTTGATTTGCATTTCCCTGATGAATAATAATGTCAAGCATCTTTTCATGTGCTTAGTATATCCTCCTTGGAGAAATATCTCCTTAGGTCCTTCCTCTATTTTTAAATTAGGTCATTTGTCTTTTTATTATGGAGTTGTAAGAGTTCTTTATATATTCTAGATACAAATCCTTTATCAACTATTATTTGCAAATATTTTCTCCCATTCTGTGGGTTGTCTTTTCATTTTCTTGATAGTGTCCTTTGAAGCAAAAATATGTTTATTTATTTTTATTTTGTATTTTTTTGTTAATCCTCACCCAATTTTTTCCATTGATTCTTAGAAAGTGGAAGGGAGGAGAGAGGGGAAGAGAGAGAGTGAGAGAGAGACATCGATATGAGAGACCCATCAATTGTTTGCCTCCCACGTGCACCCCCTACCAGGGCTGGGGATTAAACCTGCAACCCAGGTCTATGTGCCCTTGACCGGGAATCGAACCTGCGATCCTTCAGTGCTTGGGCCGATGCTACAACCATTGAGCAACACCGGCCAGGGCAAAAACATGTTTCTTTTTGATGAAGTCCACTTTATTATTTTCCTTTGTTGCTCATGCTTTTGGTAACACATCTAAGGATCCATTGTGAAATATCTGGTCTTGAGGCTAGTGTGCTTAGTGGTTAGAGCATCAGCCTGCACACCAAAGGGTCGCAGGTTTGATTTCCGGTCAAGGGCATGTACTTGGGTTGCAGGTTTGATCCCTAGCCTCAGTCGGGGTACATGGGGGAAGCAAGCAATCAATGTGTCTCTCTCATATGTCTCTCTCTCTCTCTCTCTCTCTCTCTCTCTCTCTCTCTCTCTCTCTCTCTCTCTCTTTCTCTCTTCAGCTCCACTCTCTAAAAATAAACAGAAAAATATCCGCAGGTGAGGTTTAACTAAAAGAAAAAAAGAAAGAAATCCGTGTTCATGAGAATTTACTCATATGTTTTCTATTAAGAATTGTAGGTCTTATATTTAGATCTTTGGTCCATTTTAAGTTAAATATGGTGTGATGTCAGGTTTGCATGTGACTATCCAGTTGTCCCAGCACTATTTGTTGAGAAGATAGCTTTTCCCAATAAACTGTCTTGGCCTCTTGTCAAAAATTGCTTGACCACAATCATATGATTTTATTTCTGGATTCTCAAATTTGATTCAATTTATCTGTAGACCTATCTTTATGCTAGACATACTGTCTTGATTACTGCTGCTTTGTAGTAAGCTTTGGGGTTAGGATCCTTTGCAATTCCACATGAATTTTAGAATAAGCTTGTCAATTTTTACAAATAAGGCAGCTGGGGTTCTGTTAGGAACTGTATTGAATTTGTAGCTCAATTTGGGGATATTGCCATCCTAACGATATATTTTTTTAAAATATATTTTATTGATTTTTTTGCAGAGAGGAAGGGAGAGAGCTAGAGAGTTAGAAACATCGATGAGAGAGAGACATCGATCAGCTGCCTCCTGCACATCTCCCACTGGGGATGTGCCCGCAACCCAGGTACATGCCCTTGACCGGAATCGAACCTGGGACCTTTCAGTCTGCAGGCCGACGCTCTATCCACCGAGCCAAACCGGTTTCGGCTGCCATCCTAACGATATTAAGTATCCAATCCATGAACATGGGATGTTTCTCCATTTATTTAGGCCCTCTAATGTCTTTCAACATGTTTTATAGTTTTCAGATTATGTTTTTGAACTTCCTTGGTTACATTTATTTCTAAGTATTTTATTCTTTCTGATGCCACTGTAAGTAGAATTGTTTTCTCAATTTCACTTTCATTCTTGTTCATTGCAAGTGTACAGAAGAAATACAAATTAGTTCCATATATTGATTCTGTACTCTAATAGCATGTTAAAAATAACTATTTACCTAAGAGAAGTAATAAGCTACAGTGAAATAGAAATGGTGTGGGATCTATTCTACCTGTAGACCTTTGCACAGAAGATCTATTCTACCTGTAGAATAGATCTGTACAAGTTCTTGCTGAACTTGTTTATTAATTCTAATAGGTTTTTTTAGTAGGTTCTTTAGTGTTTCCTATATACAAAATCATGTCATTTGCAAATGGAGATAGTTTTATTTCTTTTCCAATCTGGATGCCCTTTATTTCATTTTCTTGCCAATTGACCTGAGGAGAATCTCCAGTTCAATGTCAAAAAGGAGTGATTAGAGTATGACATCCTGTCTTGTTTCTGATCTCAGGGGGAAAGCACCCAGGCTTTCACCATGAAGTGTGACACACCCTTCACACTAGCTGTGGGTTTTTGTACACACCCTTTATCTAGTCAAGCAAGTTCTCTTCTATTTCTAGTTTGAGTGTTTTTATGACAAAAGGTTGTTGGGTTTTGTCAAATGCTTTTTCTGTGTTTACTAAGATGATCATGTGGTTTTCCTTTTTTATTCAATTTTTTAAAATTATATTTTTATTGATTTTAGAGAGGAAGGGAGAAGGAGAGATAGAAACATCAATGATGAGAATCATCGATCAGCTGCCTACTGCATGCCCCCTAATGGGGATCGAGCCTGCAACCCGGACATATGCCCTTGACTGGAATTGAACCCAGGGACCTTCACTCCATAGGCTGATGCTCTATTCACTGAGCATCAAACCAGCTAGGGCTCTTTTTTTTTTTTATTCTATTGACTTATTAATCTATTGATATGAACCACTTATTTTTTTTTTATGTAAAAGAGGTTTTTTTAAAATATATTTTATTGATTTTTTACAGAGAGGAGGGGAGAGAGATAGAGAGTCAGAAACATCGGGGTGATGTGCCCACAACCCAGGTACATGCCCTTGACCGGAATCGAACCCGGGACCCTTCAGTCCGCAGGCCGACGCTCCATCCACTGAGCCAAACCGGTTTCGGCTGATATGAACCACTTATGATAAAAATGGAAAATATAAGTATTAAGATACTAGTAACTAAGTGAGTAAAGTAACTTAGATAAAAGATATCCCCAAACACATTTCTGAAACAAAATCTTTTCTTCCTTGTGATGGAAAAAAAAAGATAGGTTAATTTAAAGAAACCCACAATATTTGAGAAGTTTCTGAAGATGATTTCTGGATAACGTTAAGCTTTGACTTTGATGGTATTTAAAATATCTTTAATTTCTTTTTTGAAATATGTTTTTCATGAGAAGTAACAGGTGGTACTGGAATGGACATGGGCTTTGGGAATTTAGACGCAGGTTTGAATCAGACTCGTTCACGCATCAGTTATATAACTTTGGCAAGTTCTTGAGGTTCCCCGAGTCTTGGGAAGACTATAAACAAGGCTGACAGGAGTGTTGTGAGGACAGAAGGGCCTGGCTGAGTGACCAACTAGCAGGCAGCAGTAGAGGAAACACTGGCATATGTGGGAGGTAACAGGGCAAGCTCTACAGACCGCGAGGCTCCAAATCCTGGCTCCAAACCCCTATTAAGTACAGGTGTGGGATCGTGACAAGTCATTTAACCTCTCTGTGCCTAATTATCTTACTTGCAGGCTAGAGATAAAATTAGGAACTCACATAAGAGGAATACTGAGAGTAATAAATGAGTTGATCGACTTCCATAGCTAGCCCTTGGCAAGTATTAACTGTGATTACGAAGTTAAGATAGCATTGATAGAATGTCTATACATGCAAGATGGGTGGGGGTTGGGGAGGCAGGATCACCTGGTGGGAAGGTCTTGCTTGGGCTTGTCCTGGGAGCATAGGGCACTGGGAGTCAAATAAAAGCATAAAGTCCGACTTCCCGGGGATACACTCAGGCTCAATGCTGGCAAACAGGGGCCATTATCATGTCTGCAGGGGCCAAGGGTGGGGCTCAATGGTGGCAGAAAGAGCCAAGAGTTTAGAATGGGGCTGGATGGAGTTGCAGGCAGGAGTTGGGGAGGCGATGGCTTAATTCAGGGGCCACCAGCTGTGTTGTATGTGGATGAGTCAGTCCAGCTTAAGTGGCTGGAGCAAGTGAGATAAAAGGATGAACATGAAGAAGGACACTGTAGCAGAACTCGTATTACAGTATTACAGAAGGTGACAATCAAGTTCTATTACTACCATACTTTATAACGAAAGATGCATCCAGGAGGAAATAGAAGGTCATGATTTCATCAATAGTATCATCAAATCTATGAATTACAACTTTTATTACATTTTAACTCTTCATATTTGTAAAATGGTCAACTTTTAAAAAATATATTTTTATTGACTTCAGAGAGGAAGGAAGAGGGCGAGAGAGATAGAAATATCAATGATGAGAGAGAATCATTGTTAGGCTGCCTCCTGCACGCCCCACACTGGGGATCAAGCCTGCAGCCCAGGCATGTGCCCTTGACTGGGAATCGAACCGTAACCTCCTGGCTCATAGGTTGGCGCTCAACCACTGAGCCACGCTGGCTGGGATAAGATAGTTAAAAACATTCCCATCTTCAAACTCCCTGGTTACTCCCAACATCCCTTTTGTGTAGGTGAGGCTACTGCTGCTTAAAGAGGATAACTGTCCCATCACCCAGGGACAGAGCCTGGGCCTCCGGGCCCCCAGCGGCCCCACCCTGGGCCACATGGCCAAATGGGAGGTGCTTGTGGGCTCCAGATAGAGTAACATCTACAACCTGAACTTGAAACAGGTACCTTTTCTAATCCCGAAGAACCTCGGAGAAAGAAATTCCATTCAGCATCAGTTAAGCTTCCTTGCTGACGCATGATCTCAACACAGAGCATGAAGCTGTAGATGAGTTTATGTTGTTCAAAGAGTCCCCTCGAAACATTGGCATATGCAGTCAGGAGGGTCTGCTCCAGGAGTATGTCCATGCGCTCCTGCAGATTATCTGTCTTCTCAGAAGTTTCAATTGTTGTATTGAACAACTGTGGGAGAGAGGGCTCGGTCAGCGTCCCTGATTTCATTCCATTTCTGAGGAGGAGAAGCACATCTCTGCTCCTCACCTCCCTTCCCTCATATTCAGTGTACAAAGAGCAGCATAAGGCATGGGTACTGTGCTATGAAAAAGTCCAGAATTCACCCCACATTGGCATGTGATACTTATTTTCTGCATTCCGCCTTCTCTCCCCGTTCTTCAGAAATGGGCCAATGCCAACCCCCCAAAGGCATCATCTCGATGAGAGACAGAAAACACAGAGAAATGCAGGTGAGCCGGCAGAACCAGGGTTTCCATGACCTCAAGTTAGATTTCATAACTTGGGGTGAGCAATGCGAGGGTCAGGCCAGGTCATGTGCCCTCGTGGCCCTGTCCCAAGACAATTCTTAGGGAGTGTAAAGAGTGTGCTGGCATTTTCTTTGACATTTAAGAGGACCCAGTTTTAAAGGAGACTTCCTTCCCACCTATTTTCCACCTGGAGGTGCCCCACACTGCAAGGCCACCAGGAAGGCAGCAGAGATGGCGGCATGGAGGGCGTAGGCATGGGAGGGCCGTTTCCTGCAACCTACGAGTAGCATACGAGGAAGAGCTAAACATTCCGGAGGGCCCCATGCTGATTAAGGGAGCTTGAGCAGAGCCTCAACCATGCCCGTGGGCTGGGCTGGAAGTCACGGAGGAGGGGGCACTGCAGCAGAGACTGGGAGAGTCTCATGAGGGACTAGAAGGGTGTGTGGGATCCATCTCAAAAGATCCACAGCACAAGGGACAACGGGGCGAAATGATGGGCTTTGGCCTCAGGTGGCAGGCTGCTCTCGCCTGCTGGAGTCTGACTGCAGCCTCATCCATCCCCGTCTTCCTCTCGGGTGCTGGGGCCCATAGAATGCTTCATCAGTGTTTCATGAATTAAGAGTCTGTTCCCATCCCTCCGTAAACACACCATTGTGGTCTTCAAACAATTTTTTATGACCCTAGGACCTAGGGCCTAGGCCAGTGATGGCGAACCTATGACACGCGAACTCATTTTTTGGCTGATTTTTCTTTGTTAAATGGCACTTAAATATATAAAATAAATATCAAAAATATAAGTCTTTGTTTTACTATGGTTGCAAATATCAAAAAATTTCTATATGTGACATGGCACCAGAGTTAAATTAGGGTTTTTCAAAATGCTGACACGTCGAGCTCAAAAGGTTCGCCATCACTGGTCTAGGCCAAGCCTGGTTTTTCCTCTAGACATCCTGTTTTAACTCATAATAGGCAGAGCAAACGTGTTGGATACAAGACGGACACAAATTGTTTGCTGCTCTTTCCATTGAGGAATGGAGTCTAATGGAGTCTAAGTCCCGTCCTCTTGAATCTGGGCTGGCCTGGACTCAACTGACCAAGGACGGGCAGCAGAAGCGATGAGTCATGACATCCAAGGCTGGGCCGGAAGAAACCTCGAAGCTTTCGCCTTGGTTCTTAGGATGTTTGCTTTGGGGAGGTGCCCCCTCGGAACCCAGTGGCTGTGTTGTGAGAAGCCCAAGCCACATGGCGAGGCCAATGTGGGCCACTGCCGACTGCCCAGCCACGGGAGTGAGCCCATGTGTACGTCCGGCCTACTCGAGCCTCCAGACGGCGGCAGCCCCAGAAACAGGGTTCACCGGAGCAGGTGGCATCTGAGCTGGGAGGGCGGGAGTTCTGAACAGAGCGGGTGCGATCAACAGTCTGGGGGACGTGAATGACCGACTTGGCTGCTGCTGCGGAGTGCGGGGAAGTGTGGCTCGAAAGGTAGAACAGGCCCAGGTTGGATTTGGTGTCGGAGTGAGAACTGTGTTTGACGGGAAGTATCTGTGGAAATCCATTTCGGACCCCAGGGATGTGGAGCAGTGTTTTGAAACCACTGGGCAGAGGCTGGCCTGGCTTCCAGTGTGAGGGCCAGCCCTGCCTAAAGGAATCTGGCTGGTGACAGGAAGCAGTGTGCTGCAGGGACACACGGCGTAGCCACAGCTCTCTACCGTTTCCTACTGCGAGTGGCATATGTGGAGAGGCCTTTGTCCGTTGAGGTGTGTTATGGGTATGAGCACAGGTGATGAGAGAAGCGAACATAAGCTCAGCTGCTGTGTATAGAGAAAGCAACAATGTAAACGAGAGGGGGTGGGAGCTGTAGATGGTGGGCTGAGGAAGAGGCCTCTGGCAGCTGAGAGAACCTCGGGGGGTGACCAGAGGGACCATTCGGGGTGCTTGCCGAGTTTTGCTGTGTAGTGAGTGATGCAAAGTCTCTCCCCCCGGGAAATCGTCAGGTGAATTGACATCGCTTGTCAAAGATTTGTGACACTGAGTTTGCTTTGGGGAGATGTGGAGTGAGGGCTGAAAATAATCCTACTTACAAGACACCAGATAAAACCGAACTGTGAATATGAGATCACGTAGGGGGACCATACATAGAATTAGGAAGTCTTACAGGGAAACAGTGAGACTGGGAAAGGAACAGCCAATGAAATGAAATGAAAGCCAGGGGGAGGAGAGGCAGTTGTATAAAAGTCCTGGGAAAAAGACACAGACCAAGGAATTCACTTAAGTGCTGGCGGAGACTTGAGATATGACATGAAAAACTCTAACAGTGGAGAGGAAGCTGGTTTACTGCAGAGAAAGTATAAAGAAATAGCATGGAGCTGGGACTCTTACAAGAGAAAAAGCCCTGGCCGGTCTGGCTCAGTGGAAAGAGCATCAGCCCGTGGACTAAAGGGTTCTGGGGCGCGATTCTGGCCAAGGGCACGGACCTCGGTTGCAGGCTTGCTCCCAGACCCCGTTGTGGGTATACGGGAGGCAACCAATGAATGTGTCTCTCTCACATCATTATTTCTCTCTCTCTTACCCTCCCTTCCACTCTCTCTAAAAATCAATGGAAAAGTATTCTCAGGTGAGGATTAACAAGAGAGAGAGATAGAGAGAGAGAGAATGAGAGAGAGAGAGAGAGAGAGAGAGGGAAAGGCAGGCAAAGAGGGAAACAAGCTACTGAGTGGAGGAAGCCAAGAGAAAGCTTTCTTTCCTTCCCCCTCAGAGTGTTCTGAGCACACTGGGGACTCGAGTCTTTAGGCAGCTGGCCTCTGACCCCAAACTCATGGAGGACTTCAGCCCATAACTGGACCCCTGATTGTCCGAGGCAAGAAGAAACTCCACGGGGTTTCAAGGAGACCCAAGGAGATCACTTTCACTAGCGGCAGCGCCGCACTCACCTGTTTGAAATATTTTAAGGAGTACTGATACATGGGGTCTATTTCTGAGAGGCTCGCAATCACGAAGTACATGACGGAGCCTTGAGTGGCGACCGGCCGATACTTCTCTCGAGCAACGTTTATCATCACTTCAGTGGACTCTGCTTCCTTCAGCCTGCTTTTAATGGCACCAGAAGTGATCTGAATGAACACAGAAAACACGTTCTTAAGAGTCTGT